ATATATATATATATATATATATATATATATATATATATATATATATATATATATATATATATATATAAACTAGAAAATACATGCATGCAGAAACCCTCGTCTTGCTGACAAACCATTGCATTTTCCGAACATGAAGTATCTAAAGTAGTTGTCATGGTAACACGATAATTTTTTAAGAATATTCTTACAAATGAAAAATTGCCTAAAAATATCACTTTTAGTTACAAAATTATCAATTTCCCAACATTTATATGTTAGGTATGTTATTATACGTAATATAAGCTTCAATTTAAGGTAAAATTCAACCACAAACGCTTCGCAAAACGTTTTAAAGTGTTCTTTATAAAACTAAACTGCCTTTATTCTTTAATTAAATGGCTTTATCGATAAACTTTGAGTTTGCAATAAAATGATTTCAAATTCTAGCATGCAAATAACTTTGCTTTCTTTTTTATTTAAAAAAATTCAATATAATAAAAAAGGGAATCAGAATTAAAGATACACTGAAATGGGGCCCGATATGCTGTCTTGTTTAGTTGTTTCACATACGCAAAGGCCGTCGGGTTTTAAAGCAATTATAAAATCAATATTTAAAACAAACTTACCTTTGTTAACGTTGGCTCCCTTCTTTTAGGCGGTTCTTTCGCCATTTCTTCCTTGAAATTTACAAAATCTTGCAAAAATGCGAGCAAAAATGAAATATATTTGCAAGAAATTTATCAATCATCAAATAAAGAAATGTTTGCTATTTCGTTGTCGTCATGGTGATGCAGTCGTTATATGCAAACTTTAAATTGGACCAATCACAGTGTTTGCTATTCATGAGAGTCCTCCATATTTTTGAGATCAGTGAGGATGACCACCCACGGTTGGTGACCCACCCCCGTCGGCTCGGGGAAAATGGCTTATAAGTGTTTATTTCTTGTCCACAAATCTCCATATTTCTTATAAAGACAACGCGCGAGACGGCGAGCGATGAATTAGTGCCCAGTTTTCAGTTTGTTCAAAAATTGACTCAGGTTTCTTCAGTATATTGTCTGAGATCAGTGTTAATCTGTCAAAAATCCCCACCCTTGGGCCACTCAGAAAAAAAGTGTCAGTCCAAATTCTGACCAATCCTATTTAGGATTCAAAGACTCAATATTCGGTATAATATAATATATTTAAACGATACAAAACATGCAACAAGTTGACAAATGATATATTCTTTGACAACAATGACGGAACATTGTAAGGTTTTTCATGTGTTTCTTGCATCACACACGCTCTTGTGTCTCTCATTACACGAAACTCGTTACTCGTTATTCGTTATTACACGAAATTAAACTATTTTCAAACATACGTTACAATAACAAATGTATATGACTCATAATTTCTCATCCAATTATTGTAATCTTTCCCAGGAAAAAATGCCTTGAAAATTCCATAAAAATTCTTTGGGAGCAGTTAAATTTCATCCCAGGCAATGCAGAGGGTAATTAGTGGGAGGGTCTTAGCTAGCGTGAGGCGGTTTCTACAAAAAAACGAAAACCAACCGAATGAACCGGGTTTTTTTTAAAAAATAGTTAAAATATGTTCGAAAATCGAAACTAATGGTAAAAAAGACCACGTGAAAAGACACAACACGCTACTCGGGAATCACGCAAGATATTAAACATATTAAAGGACCGTAAGGTATTTTGAAGACGTTATCAAATTTTAAACAAAATCTCTTTAGTTTTTCGTGTGTAAATGCCAAAACTTGATTAATTTGCAACAAACTCGTATTAAGGCGGTTTTCCAGTCCTCGCACGAAGCTCCTCGCAGCTCGCTGCGAGTGCTTGCATCTAATTAAAATTAACTGTTTAGCATTGTGATTGGATGAAAGTGCTCATGCATGCACTCGCAGCGAGGAGCTTCGTGCGAGGACTGGAAATCCGCCTTGAGTATATGGTTCGATTTTAGTAAAATACCGATGTTTCTTCGGGTTTTTCGTTTTTCCACGGTTTTTCCAGGTGTTTCTCCAAAAGTAACATCGAGTATTTCGGTTTTCAAAAAACATTGGATTTTTTCGGTTTTAGCGAAAAACCGTCTCACCCTAGTCTTAGCTACAGTATAGAAGGGGAAAACACTGTGAAATAAATCACACACAGGTTGATCATTTATATAAACCTACAGTGGATTCATAAAATACAATGTTGCTACTTACCACAGATATAATTTGCTCTTAATTTTGTAATGAGAAAGTTTATAAAAATATATTCTGTGGAATTTGTTAAAATTATTTGATGTTTTTATGTTAGCTAGGTAGGTGTATTAAATATAGTGGCAACTGCAATCATAGTGATTAGTCACTGATTCTATAATTTTAGTTATAGAATGAGTAACTTTAGCAAACGATGTTTAAAATCACCTCAAATTTTGATAATGCAAACAAATTTACTATGCAAATGAAATACCTGCATCAACGGACAACGAACTTCCAAACGAGGCTAATTGCATGAAAAGGAGGCGTAATGCCCAGCCAATCAAGTCTGACCAAAATTTGAACCTGACTTAAAGATACATACACACGAGTCAACTACAAGTGACCACGAGTGACCAGGATTCACCACAGACAACCGAATTGTCAAAAAGGCGAAAAAGTTTTGTTTTCTTGATTCTCTCAAACCGGAATCATACTCGGCATGAGATACTGTAGAAACACATCTTTGCTGAGGATAGGGTCGATAGAACATGATCACACCAATGGAACCCACCAACTCAGCCAATCAGAACTCAGTATTTCAGCGGTCTATATCCCATATTAAAACTGTCTCACAGCGAGCTTCATAGCAATTACAGTGAGTTTATGTGATTGTAGTAACAACAAGGGTAACCGAAAAAATTGAAACATGTAAAATACACTGTAGTAATTAAACAAAAGGCTTGGTTGTTGTGTATCAATTAGGTTTATCTCTTTGACTTAATCTAATATCACGATTTTATAGTAACTGATTATAGGCACACCACACTCATATCCGGATAATCATTTTCCTTTTAAAAGAGGACTCTTTTAAACGGGATGATAGGGTATGTGCTAAAGAAATTTTTTCTGATGACAGGAAACGCCTGAATTTGACTTGGTTTTTGACAAGAATTACAAGTGGATTGCAAGTAGCTTTGCAGACAAGAATGCTTTCATTGTTGCTTTGTGGAAGGTAAGTGGACGGTTGTCGATATATGGTTGTTTGTAGTTGAAATCGGAAAGCCTTTTTTAGCTCATTTGTTGATTGAGTTCCAATGACAAAATAACGAAACTACCATCATTTTCTCTGACACCTATCATCGTAAAGGCCGATTCCAAATGCGCACCTGTATTCCAGATCCTGGCTAAGACGCCAGGCACCATTAACATTGCAGTTCTAAAACATGCTTTGGCACTTACAGCGCTTTTTAGAACTCTGGATTTACCGTTCATACTAATCAAATTGTTATTTAAGCAATCTTCCTCTGAAACTTCGCAGACTTCTGAACTCCGTTGAGGTTCAAAAGCGGTCATGTGATTCCCTAAAGTTCACAAATTTTCGCACATTCTGAATTTTTCTCGAAGGCACTAAATAATGAGACCTTCATACTGAACTGTGAGTCACCCCGCATGCGTAGTCATACTTCGAGTCTTTAAAATAAGTTTACATTCCACACTAAGGTGTACATCGTTCCTGGAAGGAAGTAGTTTGAACCAGCCTTCAGTCGCAATGAATAGTTGAGAGTTTTAACCTCTCAGAGGTTGCTTGACTAACTTTCAGTAAACACAGAATAGATTGTACCTGATAATTGTAAATGTTGTGTTTTAGGTTTGCACAAGATATTTACCTCAAAGGAAACCAGCGTTTGTCAATGTCAATCAACAAAGTATCGAAGGTTATTATTATGGGACTGTAACACTGGCCATAAACGAGGGGGAAGAAGCACTCTAGGGTTGTACACTAGAAGTATGATTGCATTTCCTGAAAAGAAATATTCAAAACACAGTATTGTAATTAGCCTGTGATTATGTACAGTATTATTATTATTATTATTAATTATTTTAATTGTGTGAGTGAACAGTGGTCAGTAAGTCACTGTCAAACCAGAAGGCACTTGGAGACTGCATTTCCTCCGCCAGCGAATTAAGTTACTGTATGTTTCATGCATAAATTATACAATGGACTAATTACGCATTCAGTTTACTCTGCCGGGCAAAGCAAGACAAACTTTTGTTCATTTCTCATCCAATTTTCATTCATATTAACCAAAATTTGTCCTTTGGCAAATTCTCGTATTAGTATGTTTGGTGTTTTATAAATATCGCTCTTTCCTCTTATCTAGAATCTACTTCTCCCCAGGCCATCGGCATCGTGTGAAGGTCACACTTTCTAGGGAGCCTATACTAGATCGCGTAAACAAAATTGCGTCCAATCCCATCATGTACATAGAATAATGGTTGCTTTCGCTTTATTATTTAAACTGCGATACGTATACTAACAGTATCTTTAAAAAATGTGTAACTAACGATGATCATCTATTGTATTGAATAGAAACCTTACGTTCAGGAGCTTCTCAACTGTCATCATCTTCACAAGAAGATGAAACAATTGAAGGTGAGAATCATCTTTCCTACTACTTATACAATAATAGTAAGGCTAAGAAGGGGCTAAAGATGGTCTAATGCCTGGTAAAATCACAGCACGCAACGATACTTACAGTACGTACCGCGGAGGTTCACTATCACGTTCTGGTACCTCTTTTCTTTCCCAGCCACATGCAGTACAACCTAGCAACGCGATACTCGTGCTGTTTGCGTACTTATATTTTACTGGTACCAGTCTTGACCAGCAGCAAACTTTTCAAGGTGATCAAAACCGTAAATCCAGCATCACCGGTGGGATGAGATTGTTTACGGAATGTTGGAGTCAGTTGTATGTGTATGTATATGTAATTGTCCTCCATCTTTGAATACATTTTAGAAGCTGTACTTTATGTACCTTGAGCTGTTATTTATTTATCTTTATTTATTATTTATTAAAAACATCTTTTAACATGGTAGCTAATCAACTAAAAATATTTACAAGGTTGTCGTTGCTTTTCATTAGGCCGTGTACTTACAGACAGTATAAGAGAAAAAATACTTAACCTTTGACGTATTCCAATGATCATGTATTCTGTTTTTTCCACATTTAATTTGTTTGAAAGAAGCCATTGATAAATATTTTCTAATTCATTATTTAAGGATTCTTCCACAATACATAAACTAGATGAACGCGCTGTAATATTTGTGTCGCCAGCATACATTGTAGCATGTGAGTTCTCCAAACAGTTAGGGAGGTCATTAACATAAATCAAAAATAGAAGAGGACCAAGGTTTGATCCTAGTGGAACCCCACAATTTACTTTCTTTGAGGACGATGTTGCATTATTGACCACGCAGAATTGTTTTCTATAATGCAAATACGATTTAAACCAGTGACACATTTTACTCAACATTCACTTCTGCACCTGGAAATTCCTGCCTGCCTCATGATACCTGTAGCCCGTATCCAGACATGCCAGATATTCACATCAGTGTTGAAGGAATTACCAGACTTCTTGAAAATCTTAAACCACACAAGGCTGCAGGACCTGATGGCATCAGACCACGAGTATTAAAAGAACTAGCTCCATCTATAGCACCCAATCTCCAATTGATATTCACAACCTCGCTCTACAGTCATGCTATCCCAGATGACTGGAAGTTGGCCTTAATTACACCAGTCTACAAAAAAAGGAGAAAAGCACTGCCCAAAAAACTACCGCCCAATATCACTTACCAGCGTATGCAGTAAGCTGATGGAACATATTATAACATCTAACATGACGACATGCTTCGAGCTACACAACGTCCTCTACCAGCTGCAACATGGTTTTAGATGCGGTCGATCTTGTGAGACATAGTTGCTTGAGCTTACAACAATTTTCAAGCAAACCTTAACGCGACAGCGCAGACGGATCTTGTAATCATGGACTTTTCAAAGGCCTTTGACAAGGTCTGCCATAACAAGCTCCTAGCAAAACTGGACTTCTACGGTGTACGAAGTGATATTTTGCATTGGATATCGTGCTTCCTTGATAGTCGTCAGCAGTGCGTTGTAGTCGAGGGAAAACAGTCCCCATACCTCCCAGTCCTCTCTGGTGTTCCTCAAGCTCCGTTATCGGCCCAATCTTGTCCCTTGTGTACATAAACGATCTCCCGGAATATGTTCAATCCAATGTACATCTCTTTGCTGACGACACAATTATGTATCTGGCAATTCACTCAGAAGATCAGTGCGCTCAACTACAATCAGACATAGACAACCTACAATCATGGGAGAATGATTGGTTAATGGAGTTTAACTCGGACAAATGTGAAGTCCTACGAGTAACGCGCAAGAAATCAATGATCCATCATAACTATACTCTTCACGGCAAAGTCCTCAGGTCCGTCACAAGTGCCAGATATCTTGGAGTACAATTATCACACGATTTAAAGTGGAACTCTCACAACAGTAATGTTAATGCCAAAGCAAACCGCACTGTAGGGTTTCTGAAAAGAAATCTGAGGGTAAAAGAACGTGAACTCAAGCAAAAGGCATATGTTAGCCTTGTACGCCCCCAGCTAGAGTACTGCTGCAGCGTTTGGGATCCCCTTCAACGCAGAGCGGCGAGATGGACCCTAGCACGCTTTCATCCACAGGTCAGTGTTACTGAAATGCTAAATGAACTTGGGTGGCGCTCTCTTGAGGAAAGACGCATTGACGCTCGTCTAGTCCTGATGTACAAAATTGTCCAGGGCCTTGTGCCAGTCAGCTGTTCAAATCTTCTTCGTCCTGCATTCAGAAGATCTCGAAATACACATGAACACTCATTCCTACCTATAGTCTGCAACACGTCCTCCCACTACCTGTCCATTTCCCCAAGAACAATTAACCAGTGAAACAGTATTCCTTCAAACATTTTTACAAATTGCAACACAACTGACACTTTTCGTCAGCGTGTTTCACTGCTGTCTCATTCTAGTAATGTTTAGTGTGTTATTGCGACCCTCGGCCGAGCTTGGGGATCGGGGACCGTTTATCATCCCGGCATCCATATTCAGTAACCATGAATCGGTATTTTCTAAAAGAGCCGTTGTAGTTGAATGACATTTTCGAAACCCAGACTGACATGCAGGATATTGTTTTCGGTTAAAAACATATTCAGTGCCGTAGCCAGAATGATAATTGGGGGGGGGGGGTACATATTCATATATTCGTGTTCACATACCATAAAAACAATTGATTTCAAAAGAAATTAATAAAGCAGAACACGAATATATGAATATGTGCCCCCCCCCCCCCTGGCTACGGCACTGAACATATTGAGTTGTGAACAAACAAGTTTCTCAAAAAGTTTCGCAATTATCGCGAGTATAGAAATAGGTCGAAAATTACCTCGCTCCTTTCTGCATGTCACCGGATTTATAAATTGGACTTACTCTTGCTATTTTAATATCACCAGGAAAAATTCCATTACTTAAAGATGCATTAAATATCAATGTTAAAAATGGGGCGATGACGTATTTCGAGTCCTTTATAAGTTTGACTGGAATATTATCAGGTCCCACAGACTTAGATGTATTTAATTTACTATTTATAAGGAAGAACCTGAGTATGAATGTCTGAGAAATTTAACTTCGTTTGAGCGCTAACATATTGCGTTAAAACGCAACGTGTATCAACGTGCAATGCATATAATTTTTATAGATTTTAGACAATCGAAAATACAGATAATTCTACCGATTCCGATCGTCTACCGATAAGGCAAAAATCGGCCCGATACCGATTATTGGTCAATCACTAATTACATTCCTTTGTATGGTTTGACCTACTGTACTAAATATATGGATGATTATATTAATAGAACTCATTCCCATTAGAAACTGTTTATTGTAATTTAGATGACTATCAACAGCTTGCACCAGGTGAAGAAAAAGACTTGGATGTGACTATGTCAAGATATGAATGCGCAATCAGCAATATTGAGGCATTCACTGAGAAACTTTCCAGGGATTTATCTCTGTTAGATGGTGTAAGTATATATTATCCACACATATTATATTTTGTGAAAGTTTGTGTGCCGATTGATAATGATTTTATTTTCGCGCAGTTCTTTGATTCTTGTGTGCATGCGTTCTTGTATATATACGACCTTGTATATCCGGCGCTCCCGACGTCCAAGAACGCAAAGAACAGCACGAAATTTTGGCACTGAATATAATAAGCCTCTCCTTGGTAGCATTCTTTCTACTTCATTTGTTTTCGCCCGCTACATCATTTAAGTAACGGGACATTGGTCATTGGATGCAACCTCAAAGTGCCTTCACGACCCCATATTTTCTCGATTTAAATATGAGCTAGTGCAGACTTCGGAGATTGCAAAACTGTTATTTCAGGCTAACATCTCATCTATCATGAGTTCTGAAAGTCAGGTAAAGAACATAATGGAATGTATTGATGAAGGTTTGAAAGAACTGGACGAACTGGAAGAAAAACTGGAGAGATATGATCGACTACTTCAGGTAAGGAATACACAAAACCTTAAACAAACGTAATCAGTGTTTATAGTTCGTTCTTTAATAAATTGCTGTATAGTTTATTGTTGCATGACCAACCAATAAAAAACCTGTTCATACAAGTAGGAGGCGATCCCAAACCACGTAGCTACAGTTAAAAACTTACAACATCCAATAATACCAAGAATAAAAGACATGAATCAGTCTGTGATATTTCCTAGGGCTTCAAGATGCTAATCTTTCGGTTTTGTTTTGGCCCTCTTACTGCCCACTTTCTCATTGGGCGTAACTCTATCTGCATAGGGGGTAGAAAAGTAACTGTACATGGCGAGACTCAAGACTAATTTATCAGGCCAGTACGGCTTCAATATCTCAATATTTGACGCAGTACGCTTACATGTACGCTTAGCGCATTATGGAAAACCAAGCTAACTATGTGTAGTTTGAATTCGTAAAATGACAAATATTTCTTGCAAACGTCGGGAAATGATTGCATTTAAATATACACCAATCTACGATTGTTCAGAAAGCTCGTGATCATATGGAGCATATGGATGAGAAGAATAAAAGGATGCAATTGGAACGCGCTAATCACAAAAAATTATCTGACGAAGTTCAAAATGTAGTTGTAAGTATTCATCTTTACCCCCACTCTATTTCATTTCTTTCACGTTGAAAACAAAAAAAACTTTTCATGCTGTAAAAACTTTATTTTTTAAAAGATTATTGCAATGTACCACATACGGAAAATATTTATTAAAAAAATGGATGCATGTCAAGTCTTTGTTTAATAAATTCTTTGTTTATATTCCATATTTTCTTTTGATCATTTGATGAATTTAGTAATATTCTTGTTATATAGTATTTCTAAAAGTGAGATTTTAGCTACTTTGTCGCCATAATCCAAGCCAAATTATAATTAGTAATGTGGAGAAGCATTATACATGTATTGTATGTCCAAGGAACACATTTTATATTTAATTTGTATATTCATTATATAGGACATTTTGGACGTGCCTGAAGCCACTCTCGGTCTATTGAGAAAGAAAAGTTTATCAAATGCCACTGAGTTACAGCAGTGTACTGGAGCTTGCAAAGCAGTTCGCGATGCCATGAGTGCTGAGCTTAGTCCAGGTAAAAAATAATGTTTTGTGGTATCATCTCGAGAGCTTGGAATCGATGCGGGTAGTACCCAGTAGCGTAGCCAGCCCGACGATTCAGGGGTGATTTATAGGGGGGTGCACACCCCTGTTGACCTTGGTCAAATATGGCACAATTTTCAAGGTTTTTCCTTTCTTGAAGTCAAACTGAAGCTCATAATTCAATGCCCATATTGCAGGAAATGGCATTCACTGGAAATTTTTTTTAAATCCATAGAAGGTCATAGAATGGAAATTGTATGGACCTTTATTGGAAATAGAGTGGATTTTGGTTATGCATAATAATTGTATATTTCCATAGTATGGATATGGAAATAGGATGGATATACTATGGATTTAGTGGTGCAATTGTAAATTTCGTAGTATGGATTTCACTTTTTTTCCCAGTGATTTCTAGAGTTCTAATTTTCAAAATTTTCCGGGGGGCATACCCCTGGACCACCTGGGGAGCTTGAGCCTTCGGCGCTCAAGTCGCTAGGAAGCCAATTCATTTGAATGCTCTCCCACCACCACCTAAATAATTATAAAGAAACACTCGGCTGCTCACCCCCTAGAAAAACCTTGCTGGATCCACCCCTGCGTTTAGTCCCGCTATGCAAATATTTTCGTGTTCATTGACTGTAGAAAACAATAGAATTTCTAAAAGAAATGAATAATTATAATAATTTTTGAATTTTGCATAGCTGGGACTAAATTGTCGGGCTGGCTACGCCACTGGTATTAGTACCATTTCACTCATGGGGGTCAGAGGGCACGCTACTCGTATTGTTTAAGATGCTTTTCTTTATTTAAACCAACTTTTCGAAAAATCATATAAATAACCAGATTAGTGGGACTCTGGTGCTTCTGGTAGCTTCACCGTGACATGTCTTTGGCCAGTGGGGTCGGTTGTTCGAAATCGATTATAAGCAACCTTAGCCAGAAGCCTAAAATTTAAAGCAAACTGCCAAACTTCCGACAGCTTGTTTTATAAATTTGGAAATGGATTCTTTAGAAATCAGTAGGAGTTTTCTTCTTTGAAGTTTGAAATAAACAGACGATGCAGAAATACATAATTTAAAACAGCAGGTAAAATTTAAGCCAATGGTTAGCGCTAAGGGGCGGACCATTAGAAATCCCGGGAGGTGGGGTATAAAATTTTTGCGGCACGAATTTTTTTTTCAGTCTCATGTCTCTGCAGGAATTTTTTTAATGCATTTAACCTCTGCACAAATTTTTTTTCAAGACTACTTGTACTTTGCTGTTTGCTTGCACGAATTTTTTTTCTCTGACGTAATGGCTGCACGAATTTTTTTTCCAGGCATTTTTCTTTGCATGAATTTTTTTTTGGGAATTTTCACCCCCCCCCCCTCCCGGGATTTCTAATGGTCCGCCCCTAATGCAGCTTTGAACAACCGGCCAGAACATTTCATTCAGAACATTTCATTTTCACGTAAGTTGGTGTCAAGTTCATTTTCCAGTGAAACTGTCCACTCCAGTTTTCTCCGGTGCCCCCATTATTATATTAAATCATGTTTAAGTAGTATTTGAATGTTTAAATGTATTGTTGGTTAGTGCATTAATTATCGTTTGAATACCATTTTCTAACGTAATATATTACTTTGTACTAAGGGTTGGAAAAACTTCGCGCAGTGAAAGAGCAAAGAGACCAGTTTTGGAATCTCTGTCAAGAATTTGCGACCTACCTGGCATCGCATTTGAAATCTGTTTTCCAGAGTCGTGTAAGTAAAGCAGGAGAATGATACTTCCACAACGTCGTACACCGCACTCTTGATTGTTTTTTGAAAAACTCACTCGTGCATGTGAAACCATGCTCTTTACGGTACGCATGCTAACATAGTAACATAGAAATGACTTAACTGTTTTAGGAAGACGAGACAGAGACACTGGTCAAACATTCCAGTGAACTTGTTATCCCCAGTCACAATAAAATCCACGATGAACTGGCTCCTTACACAGAACTCATGTTATGGCTGAAGGAAATTGATCACTCAAAATTTACCGAATTAATTCAGGTAGGTAATACTAGGTATAGTTCTCACTTTTCATGAAGCTGAGTGAAAATGATGTGAACTGTTCACAAGACTGAAGAAAGCGCAGGCAGATCCAGGATCAGGCTCATCTGATAGAAGGTTGCATGTTTTGCTGCGTGGGGTTGGGTTGTGTGAAATATGACATGAAAATAATATGATTGAGAAGAAGTAGGAGTATACGCACTCCCCCACCCGCCCTCAATTCCAGTCTCCCTCACATAACGTTCTTTACGGGGTGATGCCCAGGCTGATATTTTTGTGATTGAGAATAGTTCAGGAGTAAATATGGTGAAATAACATTTGACGTACAATACATATATAAAGATTGCATTACAAGGAATGCAAGCGTATTTTCGAAGAAACTGGACATTCTAATTTCCTGTTCATAACTATTGGTAATTTTCCAAAATAAGCTTCACGAATTGATCGTCAGAAATGAAATGGAGAACTTGGATTATAAGTAGACATTATTAATGAGACATTTTATACTTCCCCTAGATTTATACGCAATGTTTTAGCAAAGTTTACGAGAAAGAAATTCGGGATTTCTTTGAAGTTTCCAAACAAAGATGTTCTGCAAGGAGTGCAAAGGCGGCAGGTAAGCCATTGATTTCCTACTTCATATTTTCCTGCATATAATATTGTATTACCATACAACTATTGTGCAACCCTGTATTCTACTGTACAAAACTATATCTTACTGTACACCACTGTATTTCACTGTTCTTCATTTCGAAGATGCTTCGAAAACCTCATTCAACTGGACGGATGTTTCCTGTTGACTGAAACAATTTCTGTTCAAACACGATTGACAAATGGAGTTAAATCGCTCTACGATAAGCTGCAATGTTACCCCCAATGCACTTGTATCATAGTACCTTTCTGTATATTCCACTAATCCACTGTACTTCAAGCCCTGTTAACCACTGTATGCAACCTTTCATAACCATACCATTGTGTACTACCGCTGCGTTCCACTGTACACAACTGTACCATTCTGTACATCACTGCACTCCACCGTATTATATGCACTATGCGCCGCTATACTCTTTGTACACAACTGTACCATGCTGTACTTCACTCTATAATGTCCGTTGTCATACAACCATTGTGCACTATATATACAGTACAGCGTGTGTCTTCTGTATTGCAAGTCGTGACCTGATGTTTTCTTTCTACATGTGCATAAGTGCGACGTTTTTTCAATTATTACATTCATTTGACTTCTTTTTTTACACTTAGGAGGCAATCTTAGAGCTGGTTCACATCTCTCGTTAAGTCGCGATGAAGTATCACATGCAAGTCCTATGCTATCTCGTGTCACAAAGTTCGATAAATCTTCCACGGATAGTCCTCAACTCAATCGACGTTCACCAACGGGATCACTAAGTTCTCAAGATTCTATTTTATCCTCAGATAGTGTGTCTGAGAATCGAAGTCGATTTGATAAGGTACTGATGCACTGTTTGCGGTAAATGAGTTTGTGATGGTAATTTATATTTTTAGTAATGAGGCGACCTACTATAAACTATGTCAAGATATTTCCGGGTGATTTCTGATCGTGTTAATCAACCGGTTGCTTGTGCGAGTTTTTACTACTTATCAGGGAAACTTTACTGAGTAGATGAAATTGGAAACGGCAGTTTGTTTACACTGCTTATAAATTACGGAATGTGCGCCTTTTACCATAAACTAACGTATTTATTAAAAATCTGATTGTGTGCGTTTCAATGATTTTCTGGTTATATAGATTTTTGATACTCTGTTGTCAGAACTGGAACCTGCGTGTTTAGCCGAACAAAAGTTTATTGAAAAGTTCTTCCACATGCCATTGCCCAAGGATGAGTCCGAGGTAAACACTACTGGTATTGCCAGAGATTTCTCCAAAGGAACATGTTTCAACTCATCAGTTTATTGTTCAAATTATATTAAAATTTTAAAAACACGTCTTGTGATCAGGGCCGCCGAGGGGGGGGGGGGCAATTTAGGTCAGGGCCCCTAGAAATTTTTGTTGGGTCCCAGCATTTTTTTGGGTGAAATATTTCCGCGCAAAGGCCTGTTTTTTCCGGCAAAGTACCGAAATTTGGTATGAAAAATTGAGGTAAAGTCACTGGAAAGCAATTACAACGTACTCGTCCCTAAAAAGTTGTCGACGGGGGAGTTGTTGTTCGAAAAAAATTTTTTCCGGAAAACATTTTGAAAATGGGGGCCATAAAAAAATTTGCCCCGGGCTCCCGCCAAGCTCTCGCCGGCCCTGCTTGTGATAAAATACCGTTTGTTCTTCCACTCTATCTCATGCCCATGCTCTGATCCTAACATAAAATCCATCGCTCAAGGGGCGATCGCAGCGATATAAGTTACGTTGTCAATATAGTCTAGGACCTGTATATGAGTTTGTATGCATTTCATTTAGGACAGATAATCTCAACTGTTTTAGGGTAAGTTGACCATGACAGTCAACATGGTAACGCTGCCCGAACCCCAATCCGGGGCGAAACGTCCGAAACTGACCACACCCAAAAACGACGCTTTCGCCATACTGCTATCTACCAAACCATAAAAGCTTTGGCTATTCTGAAGTGCTTATATGGTTCAGAGATGGTACTTTTCGGGGTGGTCATTGGTAAGTGTGAAATGCCTAGCACTAATATTTCACAAGAAAATGACCATGCAATAATCATAGTTAAGCGTCAATTTGTGGCTTGCAACTTCAGATAAACAGCAGTGGACTTACATTACCTTTTTCCCTAAATCTTTTTGATAGAAACATAATTGGTACTTATTTAAATATATTATCACTGGTTTGGTGTAAATAGTTAATATTTTATGACCGAAATAATAATTTGAAATGTGCCTACCTCCTGCAAATGGACGTATTTGGCCAAGTTCTCCACTTTACTCCGCTGTTTATCGGCGATCTCGTCGACATCCTACAAAAAATGTAAATCATCTCAGACATGGTATCAAGAATATTTTAAACAAGTTTTAACTTGGTTTCAAGTAGATCATACCTGTTTAACAATCGACAAGGCAAATCCACAACTTTGTCCAAATTCAGCGCCATTTTGTCATTGCATGTCGCTTGTTAACAACTCAGCCTTGTTACTCTTCCATCCAAGCCATTTCCATTCCACTAATAATAAATTTAACCCTTTATAACAGAAGGAAACTAAAAAATCTAAACAAAATATAAGAAAAGCGCCATTTTATCACCCTGTAGGATGTTGTTTACGAGTCCTTCAAAACATTTCGTACAAATCTCGCGTGGTTTAGCAACAGGGACGTGACAGGGGGGGGGGGGGAGACTTGAAAAATGAAAGGAATGCCCACACATTAGGGTAAAACCAACAATCAACATTTAATTTGTATGACTTTTTCATATTAATAAATAATATGTATATATTTGTCGCTACAAGAAATAAAACAAACATTTGTATGATTGTATTTAGCTTTTGGTCTATTTCACGCAGCCTTCTATCTTCGTGAAATAATTCACCCCCTCCTGTCACGTCCCTGTTACTTTGTCACGCGATATTTGTACGGAATGTTTTGAAAGACTCGTGAGCAAGATCTTACAGGGTGATAAAATGCTGCATTTCGCATATTTCATTTGTATTTTTATTTTAATACCCTTAACAAAGGGTTAAATTTGTTATTTGTGCAATGGAAATGGCTTGGATGGAAGAGTAACAAGGCTGAATTGTTAACAAGCGACATGGGATAACAAAATGGCGCCGAATTTGGACAAAGTTGTGGATTTACCTTGTCGATGGTTAAACAGGTATGATCTACTTGAAACCAAGTTGAAACTTGTTTAAAATGTTCTTGATACCATTATGTCTGAGATGATTTACATTTTTTGTCGGATGTCGACGGGATCGCCGATAAACAGCGCAGTAAAGTGGAGAACTTGGCCAAATACGTCCATTTGCAAAAGGTAGGCACATTTCAAATTATTATTTCAGTCAGAAAATATTAACTATTTTACACCAAACCAGTCATAATATATTTAAATAAGTACCATTTATGTTTCTATCAAAAAGATTTAGGGAAAAAGGTAATGTAAGTCCACTGCTGTTTATCTGAATTTGCAAGCCACAAATTGACGTTTAACTATGATTATTGCATGGACATTTTCTTGTGAAATATTAGTGCTAGGCATTTCACACTTACCAATGATCACCCCCAAAAGTACCATCTCTGAACTATATAAGCACCTCAGAATAGCCAAAGCTTTTATGGTTTGGTAGATAGCAGTATGGCGAAAGCGTCGTTTTTGGGTGTGGTCAGTTTCGGACGTTTCGCCCCGGATTGGGGTTCGGGCAGCATTACCATGTTG